CGTGGTGTCCTCCATGGCTACCCGGAGCCGTGCGGGGCCGGCCTGGTGGAGCGGGAGCTGGAGCCGGAGACCCCGAAAGAAGGAGAAGCGGGAGGAGGGAGAGTGAGCAAGAGTGGAGAGCAGAGGAAACTTGAGCCACGTCCGTGCGCACCGGGACAGCGGCCAGAACTGTGGGGCGGGGAATCCGTGCGCTCCCCGGCTCCCAGGCCAAACTTCCGAGTCTCGTTGGCCATTGGCTGGTCCCACCCCAAGTGGGAGGGACCGGGGCAGAAGGGGGAGACCGACAAGGGGGGGAGGATACAGAGGGGGACCCAAGAGCCTAGTGCCCCACCCTATCCAGGATGGTTGGAATAGTTGGAGCCGGAGACTAGGGTTTGGGCTGGCAACAGAGGCGGCGGGAGCGGGACTGAGCGGAGGAATGTGAGCTGAGAAAGGGAATCAGGTTCTAAGAGTGTCGCTCTACTTTCTCTCGCTGTTTTTGCTCATCCGCAATCCCTTTCCAACTTTTTAAGATATAAAGCTGGGACTCAGGTGGACCATGAGATCCAGAGGCAAAATATTACGCTTGCCTGCACGGAAGAGACCTTGCACTCCACAGTCTTTTCTGAGGGATCTCATTCTCTCCTTCGGAAATTACCAATCTCTGTTTATTTTTATTGATTTATTTATATTTTTGCCATAGAGTGTTTTCAGTCATGGGGGCGGTACGGGGGGGGACCACCCCCACACCCCGGAATGGCCACACTTCATTTCCTTTTCCTGTCCGGATTTTGGGCACGCAGGCCAATTTGTCAACACTGTATATGGGATCCAGCGCCTCCACCACTACTCTACCCACTGACCCCAGCCCCTGTTCTAAAAGTTTGAGGGGTCGTTTGGGGAAAGGAAGGGAGAACTTAGCTTAGGGCCACCGTGGTGGTGAGAGGCTAGAGAGCTCTTCTAGGTTCCTCTTAGAATGACCCTAACAGAGCAGGATTTAGATGGGCAATAAAGCAGAAAGGAAAGCCTTTTACCTACATTTTGCCTCTCTTTTATTTTTATTTAAAAAAAACTTTTTTTTTCCAGTGGGGGTATGGGCTCTCCAGAAAGAGAACTGTCACCCTCCAAACGGGCATCATCATGCCGGAATCCCTTCTCTGTGTCCCCATCCAGACAGGATGTTTGTTTTTCAAGCCTCTGGGGCCTGCATTGAAACTGTGGGTGGACCATGTGGGATCTGGCTCCCTTAACCACTGCCTCTCACATCTCTTTAAAGTCCACCTTCTCTGTACCCTCATCAAATCCCACCTCATTTGACAAACAGGAAAAGAAGGGCACAGAGGGGCCAGGAGCGGGGGCAGCTAGTCTGTGGCGTCTGGGAAGGTTCTGGCTTCTAATCTGGAGCTCTCCCTGAGTACACCAGACTCTCGCCTGCTAATGATCTTAGCTGGCTGTGCCGGAGGGTGCATTATGGCATCAAGACCCTTTTGGGGCAGTTGTCTAGTTAATGAAGTCAGATCCCACCCGGCCTACTGAGGTTCCCGTCATAACCTGCAACTTGAAAAACTCTCAGAGTGCACGTGTGTGCATGCTCCAACTCTGACCCGGATGAAGAGATGAAGGGATTGTGGCATGACCCTGTCCCACTGGGGGGCTGCTTTCTCCCTCTCTCTCTGGTGAGTACACACATCCTCTAACAGTATTTTTTTAGAATTATTTATTTAATGTTATTTATTCACTCATCCATTTAAATTTGATCAGAGAGAGATACACATGGAGAGAGAGAGAGAGAAAGCCACCAGGTCGGGAATTCGAACCATGGTGGGCCATGTGCGAGTGTCCAGCGCCTTAGCCACCACGCTACCTGCTGGTCCCTGCTCTAACAAATTTTTGAAAAGATTCTGTTGTGGGTGCTATCTTTCTCACTCCTTTGCTCATGGAAGAAATAATAAACTTTTTTTTTTTAGGTTTTTGCCACAGGGCTCACGTACTTGCCAGAGAGAGAGAAAGAGAGGGAAAAGCGAGAAATCAACCCCCAGGGAGGATGGCCACGCAGCAATCCCTTCTCCTCCATTTCCTCTTGGGATTTTGGGCACATACTACACGCATCTGGCATGACTTTCAAGCTGCCAGGTTTGGGACTCCAACAATACTTGGTCCTATGGGAATCCATGTTGCCACCTGCTGGCCCCTATATAAACTATTTTTACCATTTAAAAAAAGATTTTATTAATTTATTAATTTTTTTTTTTATTTGACCAGAGACAGAGAGGGAAAGTGAGAAAACAAGTCACCAGGTCTGGGACTTGAACCACAGTCAGCCATGTGGGAGTCCAGCACCTTAATCGCCAGGCCACCTGCGGTCCCCATATAAACTATTTTTTTATTATTATTTTTTTCTGAGAGGTTTTCGCTGTAGGGTGCGTGTGCTTGCCAGACAGACAGAGAGAGACATAGAGACAGAAAGCCAGAAATCACCCCCCAGGGAGGATGGTCACGCTGCAGTCCCTTCTCCTCCATTCTCCTCTGGGGATCTTGGGCGTGCACGCACATGCGCCCGGCGTGAGTTCTAAGCCACTGGGTCCAGGACACAAACCGCGGTCGACTACGTGGGAATCCAGCGACATAGCCATTAAGCTAACTGCTGGTTCCCGCCATATAAACTATTTTTAAAAGGAGCATCTGGAGAAGGCAAGTGACTTGCCGGAGGTCACTCGCAGGCTAGTATTGGCGCTGACAGTTGAACCGGGCCTCGGGACTCCTGCTCTCTTGCTCTTCGCACCTTAGTGCTCTGTTCCTCTCACTAGGGCAGAGACACCAGCAACCGTGGTCACCCCACATGTGTCATTTTTGAGCCTGCTGTCCTGAGGACGAACTAAATCATATTTTCATTCATACTTGGTACAAAGGAGCAAGGCGTTCTGAGCAGGCCTAAGAAGGTTGTGCAGAAGTCCAGAGAACCAGAGGCTGCACATCCCCCAGCTCGCTGTCCAGCGCAGCGCTGGCTCTGTGAGCGCCGGGGAACCGCACCAGCTCCCTTTCCCACAGAAAAGCTGTAAACCTTTTCCCTGCTTAGGAAATGAAGCTTGGGTTTCCCCAGCTGGCTGGACAATGATCTGGACAAAAGGGCATTTCTAGTCCAGCCTCCGTTATCTTTAGGAAGAGTGAAAAATGGCTCTGTGGGGACCCTCAGGTCTCATCAGACCAGTCAGAAAACCTACCAACCCAGAAAGGACCTGGGGACCTCAGTGTCTTGGCTGTTCCTCAGAAACAGGTGGCTTTGTCATTAGAAATTTAACTAGAATGAACTGGTATATATCCTATGGCCGGGAAAGACATGACACACTTTTACATAGGAAAATGTGTCCTGGCTTTCCTGACAACCTAATAAAACATGAATGTACGCATATGATTGCTAGAATTGACAGATCACCAGCCTATTTTAGAATTTAATAAAAATGTATTATAGCAATTTAAGTTCCTTCTACTGAGGATTGATAAAGCTTTAGCAAAAAGGAAAGTGCAGTAGACAACCTCCAGGACCTTCATAATGTCCTCACATTAAAAAAAGTTTTTAATTTTTAACATACAACACACAGGTACAAATCGCAAATAGTGATACACAAAGAAATACAGTAAAAAGGTTTTTGTATTATTTATTTTTCTTTTAACTTGCTACAGGATGCATGTGCTTGCTGAAGAGAGACAGAGAGGGGCAGGCAGGTGGCATGGTGGTTGGGGGCACTGGACTCCCACATGTCCAACCACGGTTTGAATCCCGGACCTGGTAGCTTGCTTTCTCACTTTCCCCCCTCTCTCTCTCCCTCTCTCGTTCTGTCCCTCTCTGGTCAAATTAAAATAAATAAGTAAAGATTTTTTTTTTTATTATTAAAAAAAAAAGAGAAAGTGAGAGATCATCCCCCTCACCCCCCCAGGGGATGGCCATACCTCAACCCTTTCTCCTCCATTCTCCTCTCAGGATTCTGGGCGCACATACACATGTGCCTAGCATGTTTTCCAACCCACTGGGTCTAGGACTTGAACTGTGCAGTCGGCCATGTGTGATCCAGTCGCCTTAACCATCATGCCACTAGCCAGCCGAAGAAATTTTATTTCTGCCCCTGTCTCCATGAACTATTGGATTGTCAGAGAAGTCTCGGCACATTTTGACTAGACAAACAGAAAAAATACGTTGTTACTTTTCTGACAACCCAATAGTTTTCCTCCCATGAGACACTTGTTACTATTTTCTTGTGGAATCCTCTATAGAAACTGTCCAAACATATGCTCACAAACACAGATCTTCTATGTGCACCCACACATATTACATCAACACTTGGCTTTTTCCAGTTACTCTTTTTTTTGGAGAGGTTTTTGCTATAGGGCGCATGCGCTCACCAGAAAGAGAGACAGGGAACCAGCAGTTAGCGTAAAGGCTATGTCGCTGGACTCCCACGTAGTCGACTGCGATTCGCGTCCCGAACCTGGTGGCTTAAAACTCACGCCAGGCGTGTGTGCGTGCGTGCCCAAGATCCCGAGAGGAGAATGGAGGAGAAGGGATTGCGGCGTGGCGTGGCCATCCTCCCTGGGGGGTGATTTCTC